TTCACTGGTACGTGGGTGAGGGTATGGAGGAGGGAGAGTTCTCCGAGGCCAGAGAGGACATGGCAGCTCTGGAGAAGGATTATGAGGAGGTGGGAGTCGACTCCATTGAGGGTGAGGGAGAGGAGGAAGGAGAGGAGTACTGAAAGGGACCTGAAGGCATTAGTTAAAAAGGAAATATTTGACTAAAATGTCTCCTTTAAAGCATTCCAAATACAAATGTTTTGTCATTTTGGCTGTTCAGTTCTAAACCCTTGGAAATGTCAAGTTTGGCTATGCTCTAAATAAAACCTCTGTGATGAAAAACTGTTTAACTGTTTGTCTTTTAAATATTCAGTGATATTCAAAATGATTTTTTCAGAATGATTTTTAAATATTCAGAAACTTTACGACATATTAGTCATGAGTAAGTAGCACAAAATGTTTGAATCATGTAATTTAAGATGTTTCAAATTCATATGTTTTTAAACATGCATGTAAAGAGCTGATTAGTTTTCTCAATAGCGTTCCAATTTTTTTTCTTGTTATCGATACATAAATCCTACAGCCGTGTTTATAAATACTGTTCATAAATACAGATTTTAAATATTAGTGTGAACCATTGCTTGAAGTTTCAATAGTTAAAGTCAAGCTAAGAAAATCAGTTTTCAGCAGGTGTTTAAAATTCACCTGCTGAGTATCTGAGTGATTCAGCCGACCTGAATGACAAAGGAAGACTCTTTCAAAGCTTAGGTACGACAACTGTAATAGCACCAGCCCGTGTGACCCACCTGCCACAAACTTTAATACAAAAGCAGTAAATTTAGGTCAAGTAATGAATAATATCATAAACTAACCACCTTTGATTAAGTTTTTATATAAATAAATATGTTTATGTAAATATAGAACTTGGCTGTTGCCCGCTTGCAGTACCTTTATGGTCCACCAGGGGGCCCCAGCCCACAGTTTAGGAATCCTTGCACTGTGACAAATCTTTAGACTGTAATGAGGATCCTGAGGTTTACAATGCGGTCTTCAAAATTAAGCTGTAAAATAGTATGAACTGTTAAACTGAAACCTTCAACTCACAATAGATCCATGGTTTGAGACTGGAAGGAGACACAAACCCAGCCACTGGTGTAAAGTTTGGGCTAAAGCAAATATGTGGATCCATCTGCTGTGACAACCTCATGGAAAATAAGGCTGCAGCCAAAAGTATTCCACTACAACTAAAATAAAAATACTGAATTGACAGCTGTAGTGAATTACTCTTCAGGTCTGGTATGTCCACACAGGAACTATAAGATTAAACTATAAGAGGAACCTCAGATGGGCAGCACTCTCACCTGACCTCCTACTTTACTATTGTATCTAATGAAGCCAAGCAACAGCTTATCCTGACCTTATAAAAACATCTGGAGTTACAAAAGGTACAAAGTACATAAATAAGGTTAGGTGAACATTTTTTTTCCCAGGATTTTTAGCCCCACAACCTCTGAAGTACAGGAGATATCCACATGAAATGTTCAGGGCTGAAAAGCACATTTATGCTCTGTTACAAACATCAACAACATACATTTCACACCCACTCCATTTTCTATGACTACATTTAAGCATCAGTATCATAGGATATAGTTTCAATATTAAATTTGTGCCAATACCAATGAACTGCTTATGTTTAAAAGTAACAGAAGAAAGCAGCGGTGCCCTGGATGTTTTTGTCTATTTCTGATCATTTGCTTGAGAAAACGTCGGAGTACAATATGTGGGATTGATGGCTGGTCGCATTGAGTTATCATATAAAAGTTCTTCGTTTTTACCTAAAATTTGATACCGGGTTTATCTTTTATAGTCGTGAAAAGGAAAGTTTTTCACAGGATTTTCTAGACCTGTAAAAAAAACTGAGTGAGGTATATGATTCAGTAACTCAGAGAAGCACATTTAGCAGCAGTAACTTGGAAGTAATCGTTTTCCGTATGACTCGATTGGTGTCTTGATTCAATGTGGAGGAATTTTGGTCCACTCGTCTTTATTACAGTGCTTTGTTGGTAATTTAGGGTAGCAGGTATTTGTTATTGCACAGCTTTTTAAAAATCCCACCATAGCATTTCCAGTAGGTAGAGACCTTGACTTAAACTGGGCCACTGCAAAATCTGGATTCTTTTCTTCTTCAGCCATTTTCATATAGATTTGCTGCTGTGTTTGGGAACTTAGCCAAGCTGTCAGACAGACGGCCTTACATCTGACTCTAGAATACTTTGATATACTGAGGAGCTCATGGGCGACTCAACGACTGCAAGGCGCCCAGGTCCTGTGGCTGCAAAAAAAGCCCAAATCTTCACTCCTCCACCGCCATGCTGACAGTTAATGTTTGTGCTGATTTACTCTTTTTACCAAATACGATTGTGTGCATCGTAGCCAAACATCTCCACTTTGGTCTTGTTTGTCCAAAGGGCTGTTACAGTTCAGATACTAACATAAGTTGTGATGTCGTGTTCTTTTTTAGAGACCATGGCAGCCCCTTCCAAACAATCTGTAGTTTTTCCATTTTTTGTTAAATGAATGATGTGCCGTTCATCTGAGGTTGCATTTACCTGCTTTTAAGACCTCGTCTTATCACCCGATATGTAAAGCCTCAAGCGTGATTTATGGTCCCAGTAATGTGTCTGTCTGTGTACAGTGGATGAAAAGGGGTTTTTACACACCACTAATGTGTTTCCAACTGCACATCACTGAATTGAGAGCTGAATGACTTACAAATGGGCCGGAATGGAGGAGGGAGCAACAGCGGACTGGGAAAGGATGAAGCATAAAACGAATGTTAAAGATAAAAAATTAAAGCATGAAAAGTACAAACAGTGGCTGCGGTGGACAGTTTTCAATACTTATTTCCTCTTCAGATCCTTGCACATTATCACTTTGCTGTTCTCAGCAGATGGCTGATGGACCAACAAACAAGAGTAGCCCACAGACCGGCCGTAACACATATTTTTCACACTGCCTCCATCAACAGCAAACACTCTCAGCATCCCATAACTACCTGCCTACCTGCCTTCCCACTATCACAGCTCAAGCATAAAACAAGCATTAGAACCTTCAAGAGTCTATTTTCTTTTTTGGCATGATTGCATTACAGACAAATTGTACATAAAGTAATTATTCTGATGAAAAAGGATGCCTGTTAGTGTTATAGGGATTAATACTGATGTTAAGATGTCGAGCTCATTTTAAACCGTTTACATTCTGTTTTATCTACAGTGATTTATCATATTCTATAAAATAACATGTTTGTAGTGGCTGTCCTGTGAGGAATACATACCTCCAAAACAGCTTTTATTGAGCTCAGAAAAGCAGCTCAACTACTTGATTAAGGATTAAAAAGCATAATAAAATATATCGATACATAAAAATTACAGCTGAATTAAAAGGCTTGAGCACTGTGTGACATGGTTAACTGTCAGTATTCACAGGAGGATTACAAATATTAATGAAAAAGTAAGTTTGAGATACTCATACTAATCTGAAAGAGTTTGTGGAGCCTTTGTCTGCTCAGCTTATTAAACAGCAAGAAGCGACTGTGCCACAAGATGGCAGTATAATACAGGGTAGACGCAGAGACTTTGCTTTCACTTTGGGACATTTTAATTTCTGCCTGCCTATTTTTTTTTATTTTATTTACCTGAACTGAACAAACTGAACAAAGCACTGCTTACTTTGCTTTGCTTTGCTTGCTCTAACACAACGCCACAGCTGTAGCTGTGACTTCTTCTGGGTCAAAATAAAATTCTAGCCCTTTTTCACTTGCCTTTAAAATTTGAGATTTGTGGAATAGGGATTGTAAATGTAAATGTAATTGTAATTTTAAACAGAACTTAGATGTGATTTTCAGGCTTGACATTCTCACGTTTTCTCCCTTTAAAAGTAATGAAGACTCACTGAAAAGGCAAAAATGCAACTTAGAAGACACCATCTTAAAATACCTACATTTAGGCTTGGGACCTAAATAATCATATAGTATAAAAATATTTTGCATGCATTTCATTAAATATGCTAATAGTAAAAATATCAGCTCATTCCTAAACTGGTCAGATGGGATTTTTTTCAGTAGAGTTGTATATTGATTTTCAGTCTTTTAGGCTTGCTACCCTTGACAAAGAAGCAGTGTCTTGGAGCCATTTTTATTCAGTTTCCCAGTTTTTAAGCATGCTTTTTCTTCTTTTGTCTACCACTTGTCCAGTTCCTATAATTTTTTAAAAAACACATTTGCTAAATATTCAGCTAACTCTATGAGAATCACCTGTTGATGATAAATACCATATTATATCTGTCTATTTGAATGTTTGGCATTTTATTCCCCCACTGAAACTGGAACAAATAATAAGTGAGTTACTTCGATATGCTTGAATCCTCACAGGTCAGTTTTAAGTGGGTTAATAAACAAACAGAAATTCCTCTGAAATTGATCAGGTATTTGTATTTGTTGTAACTGTTGCTCCCCTATTGGCCAACTGGACAAATAAAGGAAAATAAGGTACATGGACTGGACTGAATGTGAGTGAAAAAAACAGCCAGTGCCCAAAGAAAAACTTTGAAAGACCTTCAGGAAAGTCTGGAGAATTATTGCTCAAGCTCTAGGAGAACTATTGTTACTTAAAAAAAATCTACAAGAAGCCCAGCTCAGGGGAAACAAAGCAAAGAAAAAAGAATGACTCAAGACTTAATATAGACTTAATGTAATATTACCCTCCATGTTTACTTTTTGTGTAAGTCAGTATGTTTGTGTTTTTACTTTTTCAGGCTTCTGGTTTTGTGGAAAGAAGAAAAAGCAGCTGTTTTGAAATGTGTTCTATAAATAAATCTTGCTTGTGACTCTTTGGACCCCGAGCACCAGGTTGGGAGACATAAATCGACATTGTTTAGAGGTACACAGATATTTAAAAACAAGCCTGCAGCACCAAAATGATTCAGGTGTGGTTAAGTAATAATGTCATATGTGATGACAAGTTTCTTTTTCTTACAAAAGGTTTTTTTTTTTGTTTTAAATTTTGCTGACAATAATGCTGCCCTTATTTTTGAGGGAGTCTATTGGAGTGGATTTCTAAGTGTCATTTTCTTTATTTGAATACTTCTCCTAACACTCTATATTGTGCTTATAATACTCACTGAATGTCATTTAACTAAATAAAGCAGGACTGGGGAACTCAAGGTATATCCCACCCTCCAAGATGCAAGTCTCACCATTCTGTAGCCGGGATGAATCTCCTCCAGGCACTTGTACATAAAACCGGCACGTATAGAATCACCAGTTATATTAAAAAACCACCTAAAACCTTAATTTGCTTCCAAATAGGGGTTTAAAAAGTTTTTTTCCTCGTGAAAACATATCTTTCTCTGTTTACTTTAATTGCCATGTCTTTCTCTTACAATGTATCCGATCATATTTGGTAGATGCTGTAAAGTATGAGTGAAAACAGACAATAAAAACTTAAATGTGAAATCACTGGGGGAAAAAAGCACAGTTCCTGCCTGAAACACACTGCTGGCAGCTGGGATTGCCTCACCTTCCTGAAAAGTTTGTGCCGTGTCAGGTTGAACGTGACGCTTACAATCTAACCAATAGGAATAGGGCTCGTGTGACGTGACCCAATCAGATTCAGCGGAGCGTTTCCGGCGGGTGAGCGAGTATAAAACGCCCCGCCCAGAGGCAACGCATCAGTTGCCTCTTACACGGGACTCATAAAGGCCTATTTGTGGGAGCTAACGTTTTTCTCGCTTCCTATTCCTCATTTTAATCCCGAAACTTATCAACACAAGGAAACATGGTGAGTGTCAGGTTTTTTTTTTTTGTCTTTTCCTACAATTAAGTTCAAACTGAAGTTATATCACGTGGTAGCCGGTAATTCAAATCAGCTGAAAGGGTCGTTAAGTTCAGTCGTTACTTTAATAGCTATAAGAAGTTATCATTTCCAACCCCAGTGTTCAACAGACATTTAGTGTATTTTTGGTGTAGCGTGACGAGGCACAGCCCAAATTCAAGTTCTGCCCCGTCTGTCTGTTTCCGGCTTCTCATGCGCACATTGACCTAGTTGGCAAAGGTCAGCCTGCAGCATTCCTCTGATTAGCGCCTCTCTGAAGAGGCCCGGCCTTTGTGAAATTGAAGCCACAGACTCCGCAAACAGAAGCAGCTCACTTAAAGTTTTATGGGGTTTTTTTTGTGTCTTTTGTTTGGTGTGATGTGAAAATGTTTGTTCTCGACACAAAACATTTTCTTGTTGCTTTGCTTGATGTACATGTGATATTTCTAAAGGGCTCAGATGTTATCAGCCTCAGGGGAGTCATGACTGTGGCATCCCACTGCTAACAAAGAGCCTTATTTATTTTCTTCTTCCTCATTTCTCACATTAGTTCCAGAGACGGCCTCAACATGTGATGAGTAGCTTTCAGCTACTATTGGGATTAAAAAAACAGAATTGATGACAAATGAATGACTTTTTTTTTTTTTTCTCCCCTCTCCACAGCGTGAGTGTATCTCAGTGCACGTTGGTCAGGCTGGTGTCCAGATCGGCAATGCCTGCTGGGAGCTTTACTGCCTGGAACATGGGATCCAGCCGGA